GGAATATAAAGCTCTCCAGACAAAGTGGATCTTAAGACTGTTGTTGAAAACGGAACTACCATGGCAAGAAATGGCCCTATACCAAATAAGAAACCTGCTACCTTTTAAAGCACATGACAGCATAGAAGGCCATTCATGGATCATGAACAGATACTGGACACCCAGAAGAGAAGGAGGCAGGCCTAGACAAAGGAACCAGTTACCGAACGCTGATCCCCCAAGCGGCCACTGGGCAAAACTGATAACAGCATGGAGGGAAGCTTTCCCACAAAGAAAAAGAAGTCCAAGAACAAAAGAAGAAATTTTGAAACAACCGCTGTTTGGGAATGACTTCTTGAAAGATCAGAATGGAAAGACATGGTCTCTCAAGGCGAGGGGGAAGAGATGGAGGACTTGGGTAGAGAGAGGCATATGGAAGATCGAACACATATGGGATGAAGGAAACAGCAAGTGGAAATCAGAAAGAGACCTTAGAGCTAAGCTGAGAGGCCATCACAATTTACAGCAAAACCTGGAGGAATTGATAGACAGTATCCCAATAGCTTGGAGGTCAACGCTAAAAAGAAGTATAGTTTGGAAGAAAGGAATAGTTTGGAAGAAAGGAGACTGGGCAACATTGAAGGCGCAAGAAACACCCTCAGTAGCCCTTCGTTTCATAAGATACGAGGGAACCGTTAGGCGCATAGCCAAATTTGAAGTACACGAGTTGGAGAACGCAGATAAAACAATAGTGGAGGTCAGAAAAGACACCCTAATCAGCCTAGACTTTGCCCTACAAGACTTGAGGAAGGTCAGAGAACTTAAAAATGAGCAAAAAGGACTAAGGAAAGGAAGAAAGAGAGTAGCACCCCCCACCTGTTTATTTAGACCAAATAAAGACATATCGGAGTTAGAAGTCGACCCCAATGAGCGGGGCTGGTATCAGAATAGATGGAGGGGAAGAGCCAAAAAGTGGATCCCGCTGCACGAATACACAGTAAAACGGGGGTATAAGATAAGACGTAAGCTAGAAAATCCACAACCGATCATAGCGGCAAGGTGGGAAAAAAACCTCCAAATAGACCCCGCTTTCTTGCAAACAATCCCATGGTCCTACTATGCAACGATCAGGCCTCAGAAAGTGAGAAGCTTGCAATGGTTGATAATTTACATGGCAGTCCCCACCAATGAGTGGTTAGAAACAAAGAGGAGAAAGGAGGATAGAACAGAATCCTCAGCACACTGCCAAATGTGCCAAGAACAGGTAGCGGAAACAGTAACTCACTGCCTACTGGAATGCCAGCATGCCAAAGCGCTCTGGCTCAAGTGCAAAAAGGCTTGGTCCAACCTATCTAACAATGAATTCCCGACAGACCAATTCCTCCTACTAACAGCAATAGACAGAGAAGGCTTAATCCCTGAGGAGGATAAGGAGATCACAGAGTTACTACGAAGAACAACCCTGTGGGTAATATGGAGAGCCAGATGTGGAAATACAATAGGAAAAAAGAAGATAACGGCAAATGAATCATGGGAAGAGGCAAGGGAAATGGTAGAAACAGGAGTTAGAGTCGAATGGAAGCGAGTGCTGGGAAGAATGGACAAGGAAATAGACGATCAGAAGAGGACTAAAATACAGAAAGAATTTGAACAACAGTGGCTGAAGGAGGGGCTAATGGCAAGGATAAACGGAAAAACCCTTCAATTCACAAACTGGTGGGATCCGGACAGCCCAAGAACAAGTCAGAATAGCACAAGCGCAATGGACTTAAGACTGATAAGAAAGGAGAACTCGGAAGAGGAACAAGCGCAACCATAGAATAGGGGAGGGTAAGAGGAAGTAAAGATTAGTGCCATGAAGAAACAAAAAGGCCAAGGACAGCACTTCAAAACGGAGGATCAGGACAGATGGAAAACCAAGGCAAAAATAGAAAAGGATAGTCCAAAAGGAAACAGCAGCAACACCAACTCGCCATGAAAGAAAGAGGACACATAGTATACAGGGAGAGAAGGGGAGGCTCTAAGATTTAAGGCTCAAGCATATCAAAAGGCAAGATACAAGCCCTAGATAATGGTAACCTAGAATGGATAGGAAATAATTTTCAGCAATCTGTTTGCTATTAAAATACAAAGGTCAAAACAGAGAGAGAGGGAAAGACTAGGGTTTAAGGTTCTAAAAAAAGGGATTCAGGTTTAAAGGGAAGTCACCAGAAGGGAATAGAGAAAGAGTAGAGTCCAAAAGGACAAGTAAGAGAGAATGAAAATTAGAAGGACCAAAGGAGGGGGTAGGGTTAAGAGTTGGAAGAAGGGTTTCGGGTTAAAGGGGCATAGCTAGAAGGGAACAGAGGGAAGGTAGATTTTAGGGAAGGCAAGGTAGGGAAAAAAAAAAAGAAAAAAAAAAAGAAAAGAAAGGAATGAAACTCCCTAATTGGATATTCTGGCCCTCAGCAATCAGCCAAGGGCAAAACCCTAACAACGTGCAGCATACACCCCACTACACCCCCCAAGCCAACCCACCCACACACATACTAACCACATCAAATCAGGACACCAACGGACAACCCCCACATTGTGCCCCTACACGCCTCAGAAATTCCCAACTCCAACAAAACCCGTTCCCCCCAATAGTAACACAGCCCCTCCCGTAGCACATTTATCCTCGCTCTCCCGCCCCAAGCCCATAACCCCAAGCCCATCGACCCAGAATCCCAAAACCTTCACCACTGCACAAACCCCCTCAGTCACTGCCCCCCCCACCCAAACTACCCCGCCAAGAAACTATAGACATATTCAACAGCGTCAACACAGAAAATTCGGACAGGGACAGACCATAAAAACACACTACAGTCAACAAAGGTTCAGGGTTTTAGCTAGAGGGTTTAGGTTTTAAGACTAGACAGGAACAAGGCACATAGGGCCTAGGATGTTAGAGATTTCAAGAGGCTCGTAAACACTCCAGACCGCTCTAGCATAACACAATAACCCGACAGCACCACGGCTGAGAGGAGCGGGATTGGGTTCAGACAGGTTGGCAACAGCCAGACAGATCAAATAGCACAGGCTAAACTAGGCAGGGGTGAGGGGTGGTACATCCTTCCTCAGAGAAGTAATCAATGCCGTCCACTCGGACCTCCCAGCCATAACGGGGAGGAGCGTGCGTGAGTCACCCATGTTTCCCATATTGACTTGCTGGGGGAATAGGAACCGGACTGTCGCTCCCCAGAAATGGTAGGAGCCAGAACCAAAAGGTTCTGTTTTCTCAAAAAAAAAAAAAGATGGCGCTGTGCTGCAGGTACCTCGAAGACGAAGAAGAAGAAGAAGAAGAAGAAGAAGAAGAAGAAGAAGAAGAAGAAGAAGA